TCTCTCTCTCTCTCTCTCTCTCTCTCTCTCTCTCTCTCTCTCTCTTCTTTACGTTCTCTCTCTACTTACAGTGGCGTCCACAAGCAATAGTATTTGAAATAGTTACTGATAAAAAATTCGATATAATCATTATGTTGTTTATTGGTTTAAACATGTTTACAATGACACTCGATCGTTACGACGCTTCAGACACATATAATGCTGTCCTTGATTATCTCAATGCGATATTCGTAGTTATTTTCAGTTCCGAATGTCTATTAAAAATATTCGCTTTACGATATCACTATTTCAAAGAGCCATGGAATTTATTTGATGTAGTAGTTGTCATTTTATCCATCTTAGGTAAGTAAACAAACACCGGAACAAACGGTCTTCTCTCCCTTAATTCTCTCTCTCTCTCTCTGTCTCTCTCTCTGTATCGCTGTCACTATATTTTTGTATTATTCTATGTTCGAAAAAAAAAACAAAAAATTAATGTAAAGCCAACAACCAATTCGTTGCTACTAAATATAATCTTTCCAAATCAGTTACAAATTAAATGTTTTTTTGTTGTTGTTAATATATAACCTAATAAAAGAAAAAATACTGTATATATGTAGTATTTGGCCTAAGGCATCTAATGCTCATCGAAATGTTCCGACACAACGATCGATATTATATGCATTAGATAGATGATCGATGCGTTTAAGATCTTGTGGGAAATCGTTGACATTATTTAGCCTTAAGTTTGTGTGTATTGCGTTGAATAATAATAATATTCATACTGTATCACATAAATGTTGTGCTTAAGTATTTTTGGATTTTAATAAATTATCCATATATATATATATATATATATATTAATTTATATATATATATATATATATATATATATATATGTTTTGTTTTTAATTGGCTACTAACCAACGAAACAATGTAGTTATCCCGTGTTGCTTAGATTAGATATGAAAAAGCAAAAAAGCAAACAAACAGAAACAACTAAAAATTATTATTATTATGATTTGTTAGTTGTTTTTTACGTTCTCCGGCCATTCTAATGTAAATGCGTGCAATTTAGAAAACCCAAATTTTATTTATATGTTTTCGATTTCAAAATTAGCATTAGCCAAAATTCTTCTCGTTTTATTGGCAGTTGACTAAATTTCCAATAAAATATTGTAATGAAAAGTTTGTAAATAAAAATTGACTTTTTATTTACATGACATAATCGAAATCTATAAACTTTCGTTCGTATGTTGAGTATTTTATTTAAAACTATTCTTATTCGGAATGAAATTAGCAAAAAAAAAAAAAAAAATATTGAAAAAAAAAATCGATGGATATTGAATATAAAAAAAAATTTAAAAAAAATCATTAAAACGTCATACAAAAAATCTTTAAGTGTTTTTCTTAATTTTTTTTTTTTTTTTTTTTTGCTCTATACGTAAGCACAATTTTATTTAAAAACCAAACGAAAAATTATCAAATCGTAAACTTGGAATTCAAAATTCATTAATAATGGCTTAAAATATTCGCAATATAATATAAAAATCCCCCAAAAAAAAGAAAGCACGAATAATAAAACGACAACTTTCCCTCTTCTTTTAAATTTCAATTCCTTTAAGTAACCTGACTCAATTTCACGTTGTTTAACGCTAAAAGATGGCTTAAAATATGCTTTACTACATTAACAAGAACAACAGGAAGCTTTCATTTCATTTCCAGCGCGAAAAGAAAGCTTCTTAAGAATCTGTTGTTTGGCTTCCGAAAAAAAAAGAAAAAAAATAAAGACCAAACCAAAACCAAAAACTACGATACTAAAACATATACGTATTAAAATTAAAAAAAAAAAAAAAAAACAAAAACAAACAAAAACTTATATCCATTTGCAATTTCTTCTCAAATTAAGAAAACTTTAAATAAACTTTTTAAACATGTTTTTTCATTCCTTATTAAAAATTTAAAGAAAAAAAAACGAGCTTTTAATATTTATAATTTTATTTTCATTTGCCTCAGCCTTAGCAAGCTTGAAGTTCTATGAAAAAGCCTTAAAAGTTTGGTTCTTCTTCGAATTCCCAAAAAGGTTACACTACTGACACAAAAATCTAAAAAAATAACAATTAATTAACCACTTACCCAGCTTCCATTATACACGTATTTAACCTAAAAGCAAATAATAGCTTTTTGCTTAAAAAAAGACGAAAACAAAAAAACACGAAAAATTTCTCCTGATTTTTTAGCGAAATAATTAATATCACTTTGAAAATATGAGTGATATCCATAATGACGAATATGTTAATAAACAATGAAGCCTTCTATCTTTCCCTTGAAGAAGAGAAACAAAAAAAAAATAAATAAATAAATAAACAAAGTAAGCAAATCTCCTATCTTCTCAAATTGGATCTTCTTAGGTTTTGAAAGTAGAGAACAGATGTTTCATTTAATAGAAAAAGTAATATAAAACCCGTTATACGAAAATGCGAAAATCTGAATTCATTTATGGCTTTTCAAGGTGCAATTTCGGTGCAAATTCACCTTCGCGTCGCTATTCGATCAGAGATATGTACGAGTTGCACTCTTTTGCTTCGAAACACAAGCAAGGAACACTACTCCATTACATATCTTTGCTGGCTTATGTTTTGGCCCGAAAACTTTTAACTTTGCGCAAATGTAATAAGCACCGTATTTTGGTTTCAAAATAAAAATCAAAATTTCTTTACATCTTACATACATATATATATATATATATATATATATATATATATATTTATATATATATAACGGCGTTTGGTTAAAGGTTTTCTTGTGCCAGCACAAAGCTTTGAATCAATTTAATGGTTTTGGTCCATACTGCCAATGGAGATTATGTACTTTACTATGAACTCTAGTAGTTTGATAGTAAACATATTTGTGCATTAAATACTTAACTTAACTTAAGTTAACTTAACTGCAAAATATATAAATTGAGTTAGAGAGATTTCCCAATCGATAAAGTTAAAAACAAATATATTACGTTTAATTAGCGAATTCCTTAGAACGCATGCTATTTATTTGTTTAGTAATTTTCGTATGTAATATTTACATATTTAAATATAATTGCGGTTTCAACCAATATCCGATTGATTGAACTATTAAATATTATTTCTTTTTCACACAGACATTTATGCCATATGACATCCAAGACTGAGAACAATCGATCAAATTTAATTCGCAACAAAACCCATATTCGACACTCGTAAAGGCATAACTGGGATGCATAGGGAATGTCATTAGGTGTGCATACTTGAATACATGCATAAATTTTTTAATCGATTTAATCACGTCCGTCTCAGCGTCTCTTCGTCTCTCCGTCTCATCGTTTGTTTCGAAAAAAAAAAAAACAACAAAATAATAATGGGAGACAACAAATTTATGCCTACGTCCATTAGTTGCAATTTTCATTGCATATGAAACGAACTGCAATGGATTTCATTGTGCATATATTTTGAATTTGCATCTAACAGATATCAATTAATTACTCGATTTGCTAATCTGCTAATCTTTTGATCTGTTCATCTGTTCAGTTGTCGATCTGTTAATCTGATCTCTAGCTAACTAATAGAGAAAAAAACTTGCTTAAAGTTTGTTAATATAAAACGATTCACAGATTAACACGAACATAGCTTTCTCCTTAGAATATGCATATAAATAAAAAAACAAAAAATTTTTTTCTATTATTATTCATATTTTTATTTCCTTTTTTAAAAACCAATCAAAAAAAGAAATAATTTCGCTTGTTGAAATTGCGTCTATTGGTTACGCGCAGCCTAAGCTCTGCTGTTAAGCTACTTAAAAAAAAAAAAAATAAATAAAAAAATTAAAAAGAACAATTCTTAAAAATGAAATAAATCTTGACTTCTCATTTCAAGTCGAAGAATCGAAATACCTTTTGGGAAAATTTCATAGCGTATAGAATGAACTTTTTTTTTTTTTTTCATTTGAAAAAAGAACAACAGAAAACAACATTTCTATCCTGCAAACTTCAAGTAGTAAAAGTAGTCCAGAACTTTTTACTTTTACTTTAGTTTTATTTTATACACACATGCCTCTACAGTAGTCTTTTATAGTCTTCTTAATCTTCTTAATTTTCTTCTTCTGTCGTCTAATCAAATTTTAACGTTTTTAAAGCTGATAAGTTTGTTTTTGAAGTCAAATGGCTACTGGCAGTATGAAATCTTTTTTCGTCATATGACTATCAAAGATGCAGTTGATATCAATCAATCAATCAATCAATCAATCAATCAATCAATCAATTAGTCAATCAATCAAGAGAATCACATCATGAAATTAATTAATAATTAACATAAATATTTGTCGATAGCAACGTGTTACAAAACATCATAAATTAATCTATCATTATGTTCTTGAAGACATTCAATTAATGATGAATATTAGTTTCATTTCTCAAATCAATTCGCTAAAGAACTTTGATCGAATTTTGCCATAAGTAAGTTATTGTGAAATTTTCCCAATAGGTTTCTATAATTTTTATTAAATTTTATTGTGTTTAACACTTTTTCTCTAGTAATTAATCTCAACATATCACTTTATATTCCTTAGAACCGCAACACACAGAATAATTCAATTACGCGGAATTGTTTGCACTATGTAGACGCATACCGAACACAAATTATCATAAATTAATTTTTGAAACCAATGAACATTAAAACGAAACAAAATAGAGACGAGAAAGTGATATTCGGCTGGGGCCGAATTATGCATACCCACCACCATTAAAATATTTGATACCCCTATGTTTTTATTCGTTAATCTCATAAGCCCAAGTGAGTGGGATACAATGTTTACGTTTCACATTTTACTTTACTTAGAGCTATTAGTAAGGGAAATTAATCTACCACGTCACGACATTCACCATAACTAATATAGAATTAACATATATATAACTTGTCGCCTTTTACTCTCTGAGTACTTTTTTTTTACGCCCATATCGCTGGTATTATTAAGAAAAAATTATTCCACCAGATCGTGTTGGTTGTTCGATTAACAAGACTGTTATGATTAACAAGTATAGAACGTCAAAAAGTCAAAAAAAAGGAACTTTTTATGGGTATGGTCGGTTTCGATCAAAAATGATAGTTTTTCGTAAAGTATATAGGTGAGCCTTTGTGAATCATGAGCAAAACACCACAATATTTTCACTAACAAAAATTGAGTTGTGGTCAAATTACGGTTGACTGCGAGCTTGTGCTGCAACCCATTTGGCCCATTTTCAGTGCCAAACTGCGTGTCGGTATCTTCATTTTTGCACACACCGAGACGGACAGACGTGGTTAAGTTCTAAATTTCTAAATTTCATATATACCTTATAGGGTCTCTAAAGCTTCCTTTTGCGTATTGCAAACCCGAAATTATGAAAAAACCTCATCATCCCACCCACCGCCTTACGTGGTGGGTATAAAAATAATCGTAAAAAAAAAAAATTAATATATATATAATATAATATAATAATAATGAAATCGATCCAAATTACAATGTTGTGAATAAAGCGCAAAATTAATAATAACTGTTCGGTTAAGGAATATGCCTTGGTAATGTTGAAGATGTTTGGCACTAATTATATGCTGCGAATTATCGCTTTCAACGGACTTTCTTTCTAAAGGCAACAATTAATTATTCAGCGCTTAATCACATGCAGTCTTAAAACAAACCAAAGAAAAAAATTAAAAAATAAATAAATGAATAAAGCAAAAAAAATTGCTGATACAAGACAAATTCCGAAGGAAATGAATAGAAAACAATACCGATAATGCGTTAATCAGATTAAATGATTACGCATTCTCGTTATATAGTTTCATTTTATATCGAAGACTGAGAAACCGTAAAACCGTAAAAAGAAAGAAGAAGAAAAATTTATTACGCTTTATTATTAATACAGTTTTTCCTTTTCGTTTTTTCGTTTCCCCTTTTCCCTTTTATCGTTACTCGTTTTTCATTTTAACTAATACACTCACTTTGTATTTGTTTTTATGAAAAGCCGCCGTTTATTTAAATATTGCATAATTTACACTTAAAAGATCCCTCATATAATCTACACTTTTATTGTGAACTATTTATTATAACGTATTAAAGAATTATTAACATATTGTAATTATATTTTGCTTTTTAAAATGAAGCTTTCGTTTTGTATAAATATATATATATATATATATATATATATATATATATATATTTATATACATGTGTAGGAATTTTTTCTATAACCGCATACACTCCTTCTTACACTTAAGCTTTCAAATGCCATTATATTCCCAGCGAATGCAAGCCTTGTTTTCAATATTACACGTTATGTATAAAACATACGTATATATATGATGTATCTATTCTATGTATATTGCGTTAAATCCTTAATTATTTTTTTTTGTACTATGTGTTCTGTGTCCCCTCTATCATCTATCGGTTTTCTCGGTGTCACTCCCCCCCCCCCCCTCCCCATTCCCACTCCTCCGCCAACCACTACCCCACCAACATGAAGTCCTCTGGTTATACTGAAGAAGGAAGAAAACAAATTTTATCCAAAAGCATATTCTCTCTACGTTCTCTTTTTCTTCCTTTTTATTCTAATTTCAAAATATATTTCTTCATTTTCTCAACCTTCCCTGTGAACCATTATTCTCCATAACCAAAATATTATCCTGCCCGCCTGCGATATTTCCTCTATCTTCACACACAAAAAAACACACACATTATTCTTAAAAATGTTTTTCTCGAAGGTCTGGTTCTCAGTGACATTATTGAAAAATATTTTGTGTCGCCGACATTGCTTCGTGTGGTGAGAGTGGCGAAAGTTGGCCGAGTTCTTCGTTTAGTTAAAGGCGCCAAAGGTATACGTACGCTGCTGTTCGCATTGGCCATGTCGCTGCCCGCCTTATTCAACATCTGCCTGTTGCTGTTCTTAGTTATGTTCATCTTTGCCATCTTTGGCATGTCCTTCTTTATGCATGTTAAAGAGAAGAGTGGCATTAATGATGTCTATAATTTTAAAACGTTTGGCCAAAGTATGATTCTGCTTTTCCAGGTAAGCCGCCACAATTCACAAACGGTAAATATTGTCTATTGTTGTTGTCGTTGGGTGATATTCCCTTAATCACATATGAATCACACATCACACAAACATCTCTCTCTCTCTCTCTCTATCTCTCTCTCTCTCTCTCTCTCTTTCTCTCATTCTCTCACTCTCTTTTTATAATACACTAGTTTCATTCAACATTCATATACCATATCGCATACATATACATAAAAAAGGGAATATCATATGTTGATTCAAGCTGCGGTAGTTGTTGGTAAAAGCTAAATTAGTGCATTCTATTTTATATTCATTTATTATATATAATTAAAGCTAACTTGAACTCCAACTTGGATCGTATTGCTATTATCATTATTATTATTATTTTTATTATTATTACTTTTGTTATTATTATTTTTATTATTATTATTTTTATTATTTTTATTAATATTATTATCATCATTATTATTACTATTATTATTATTATTATTATTATTATTATTATTATTATCAGTATTATTATTATTTCTATTATTATTATTATTGTTGTTATTGTTATTATTATTATTTTATTAGTATGGCTATTATTGTTATTATTAACTGTGCGTCAGACCCGTCTATCCGTCTCAATTTGATTTCGATGCTTCCATTTCATTTACGTTGTGTTACATGAGAAGAAAGTAGGCTCGGTGGACCGAAACAGTTTTGAAACACAAACTTTCTGCACAATTGGTGAATCTCGCTTTTTGTGCACATTGTTTCTGCTTTTTTTTTGCCGATTTACTTGTCCGCTTAGTCTACTTTATTCTACGTACTTATACCCTTTACACCTTAAGTTTGATTTACTTTAAAGCTGATCTTTATGTTAAACCTTTTACTAATTAATAGCAATCAAATTTCACTATTTTCGTTAATAGCTTATAATCCTGTTCCATCAAATTATGTTTGCCTTTTTCACTCACCATCTAAAGATTAGATTTGTGATAATTTCGTTATTACAATATAGGCCATCATTGGACTTTATATCGACTGGGTGTTTAATATCTCCGCTTTCGAGACAATGTAGACATTTTAAAAAACGAGATGGTGTGCATATGTTCTGTGTTGCAATCCCATAGAAATGATATATGAAGATTTTGGTTATGACTTACACTTGACAATTATACTGACCTAGTAGTTTTGACGTGCTTTAGAGGTTGTCAAAAATCTGGATTGAATATCTCCACTCTATATGGAATTTTTCCGTATCAATATTAACACAAATGATGACATGGAAAGTTGAGATCTGAGTAACATCCATATATAACGTCAAACTCACACTCTACAAAACTTGCTTAGTTATTTACTAACATAATAAATTGATTTGTCTAATTTGGTGATATTTGATGGTGAGTGGGCGTAAGATACGCCACGAAGCGTATATAGCTATCTATAATTTTATTCATTCCGCTTTTATCATTTCTTGCTTATAACCTAGTCTTTCTTAACAAAAAAAAAAAAGAAAAATAAAAAGAATATTAAAAAACGAAACTTGATCTGCTTCTTCCCTACACATTTATTTTTATAAGCTTTTCACGCTTAATATACTATAAAATTAAAAAGTTAAAAAATTAAAAAATTAAAAAAAAAAAAAAAAAAACGATCTAATTCAGCTCTTTCAACAATCACCAATAAAGAAATGTTTTCAATTCCTCATTTACCAGCTTTTAGCAACCGTTAGACCTCACGCAGAACGAAAAGTAGAAACAGCTTTCAAAACTCAAATGCTTTCAATTTTGAAGCCGTGAAAGGCTTTGAAAAACTAGTTCCTTCTTAAGTAAGATACGTCTAGAATTGCTTGAAAAAGCTTCATGTTCCCTTATACCAAGCAATCAAAAATGAATCCTTGCTGAACGAAAGAAAACATTACTGTTTAACGCTTATAATTAATTGCCTTTGAAATGTGTTTATTTATTAATCTAAAATAATATTAAAATAGCGAGTACAAACGAGTACGACAAAGCTCTGAAAAATTTGATCGTTTCCAATTATTTCCAAAATTGATTGCTAAAACGAAAAACTTTGGAAAAGAAGAGACGCGCAAGTAGAGAAATACATAGCAGCATATTTTAAAAATATTTTTGTTTCCTTTTGTAAATAACTAATTTTCCTCGGACACAGATTGATTGTAATAAGTTACGTTAATATAGAACTTAGAATTTACTATCGTAGCTTGTCAATTGAGCTTTAAATGCATTCAATTAGTTGTGTTAACAATGGATTCATTGCTTTAAATAGTTTTAGTCCAAAATAGGTATTTCAGCTTTTTGTATTCATAAACAACAAAAACAATATATATATATATATATGTACATATATATATATAAATATATATAAAGTATATAATAAATATATATAAAGTATATGATATATATGATATATGGAGTGATAAACTAATCGAAATTATAAATTTCTAAACTTTTTTCACGACCATGCCATCCCATCCCAACCCAAATCAATCGTGAATCTCGCTCACGTTAATATTCCTTTCAATGCGAAAAACTTACAAAAAACAAATCAAAAAATCCGATCAAATTTTGAATCGTATTCATTATGTCTGTGTGTGTATAAATGTACACAGATGTCTACTTCAGCCGGTTGGGATGGCGTTTTAGATGCCATTATCAATGAGGAAAATTGCGATCCACCCGACAACGACAAAGGCTATCCGGGCAATTGTGGTTCAGCGACAGTTGGAATTACGTTTCTCCTTTCATATCTAGTTATAAGCTTTTTGATAGTTATTAATATGTACATTGCTGTCATTCTCGAGAACTATAGCCAGGCTACTGAAGATGTCCAGGAAGGTTTGACCGACGACGACTACGACATGTACTATGAGATCTGGCAACAATTCGATCCTGAAGGTACTCAGTACATACCATACGATAAGCTATCCGAATTTCTCGATGTACTGGAGCCGCCGTTGCAAATACACAAACCAAATAAGTACAAAATTATATCAATGGATATACCGATATGTCGGGGAGATATGATGTATTGTGTGGACATTCTGGATGCGCTTACTAAAGACTTTTTCGCTCGAAAGGGTAATCCGATCGAGGAGACAGGCGAGATTGGAGAAATCGCTGCCAGACCGGATACAGAAGGTTACGAACCGGTTTCATCTACATTGTGGCGCCAGCGTGAAGAATATTGTACACGAGTGATACAGCGTGCTTGGCACAAATACAAATACGGCGAACCCGAGGAAAAGGCAACGGAAGAAGCAGTAATAGAAGAGAATGGCGATCCTCCTAATGGTGATGGCAATGGCGGCGTCGTCAGCGGCAGTGTTAACGGAGAAGTCGTCGGCGATCCAAGTAGTACTTCAGCGACCGGTGGTCCGCTAAGTCCAGGCTGCGTAAGCGCGGGTAGTAATGGTCGTCAGACAGCAGTTTTAGTCGAAAGCGATGGTTTTGTTATAAAAAACGGTCATAAGGTTGTAATACACTCAAGGTCGCCGAGTATAACATCCAGAACGGCAGATGTCTGAGCCAGGCCTCGCCCCCCCCTCCAAGATGCACGAGAGAACTAATATAAAGCGTTCATTTTCTGCCCTACAACAATGTGTACACACAGTAATAACAGCACCATCAACAACAACAACAACAACAACAACAACAACAACAACAAGAACAACTACGACAACAAAACAACAGCAACAAGAACAGAAACATCGTACAAATAAAAAAGAGAAACAAATATGCGTAAAAAAAGTCTTTCCGTTAAACACGAAAGGAACACAACACCTATTCAATTTGCTGAACGAAGCACGAACAAGCAGATTGAGCAGATGTCCAACAGTTGGTTATGTGTTTAACATGGTTTTTTTTGTTGTTCTTCTTTTTTAATTACAAAACAACAACAACATTTGTGAACCTAAATTTATATTTTATTTTTAATATTTTCCCTTTACATTTTCTTGAACGTCTTGTAAATAGTAAAAAATATTCAATTAGACTACTTAATTCAAAGTGGATTCTGTATATCTTCGAAATTAATAATTTTTCTCATAAACAAACATAAACAACTACAACAAATTTAATGTAATTATATATGAATTTAAAAAAATGAAAAAACAAAAATGAAAAATTATTGTTAAGAAGAAATGCTTTTTTAATAATAATAAAATTTAAAAAAAAGAAAAAAAAAAACAAATTTAAGCCGACTGCCAAACCAAAACAAAAATATAAAAAAAACAAAAAAATGAATTAAAAATATAAGCACAGCTAACATAAATTTTTAATAAAATTTAAAATGAAACATAAATGAACAATAAAAAAAAAAAATATATATTTAATTTGAATTAATAAATTAACTGCGCATATGCGTCACACTATACGATCTCTAGACACATATAAACACACTTACTCTCCCTTTTTACATGAAAGCATGAAGAACACTTTAAGGGTACACAACCTCTAAAACACTGAAAGAAAACACGCAAACAAACGATCATCACCAAAACACACTCGACAAAATTCCTTGGAGTTGGGGCGCTAATAACAAAAAAAAAAAAAAAAACAAAAAAAAAAAAACAAAATAACAAACATATAGCAAATGAGAGAACTTATCTATCACAAATTAAGCTTAAATTATAATTCAAAAAAAATAAAAAGCAAAAAACAAAGGAAAAGAAAGAAGCAACAGTGAAACAAACAAATACTGAAAACCACAGACTGGACGTGAAATAGAAATAAAAACAAAAACCGTAAACGAATCGCGCTCCCGTGAAAAAAAAGAACAAAATTAACACTAAAACGAAAACTTCAAATCAATAAATATCTAGTTTGTTGTAATAATGAACTGAACTGAAATTTATCGTTGAAAACATTAAAAGAGAGAAATATACTGTGAGCGAAATAATAAACTTAAGAAGTCATTTACTAAAAGACAGGACAACAGTGCGACCATAGCAAATAAGTTTCACAAAAAAAAAAAAAAAAAAAAAAAAAAAAAAAAAAAAAAAATGAAATGAAATTGAAAAGAAAATAGAAGAGAATAAAAGTCAAGTAACAAGTGCGGCATTCGAAAAACGTGAAAACAGTAAAAACAATGTAATAACAAATAAACGAAATTACAATAATAAATATTGAGATGGGTATGTGTACGAAAAATAGCAATAAGCCATGTTCTTAATTATTTTTTACATGAAATTTTTGCATTTTTAGTTGCTTTTAAAACGAAACCGAAACGAAAAGAAACAAATGAATTACGAAGGAATTATCGTAAATGTTAAAAAACAATGGCTCTGGTTCGCTTCAAATCTTATTAATAGATCTTTGGTGCATTACTCCTGAATCCAAATATTTCAATTTATGTTCAATGATAGGAAAATCGAAAGAAATCTTACCTTACAAATGTCCCGCCTCCAAGCCAATGACGTGATTAGGGAAAAGGTAACAATTGTTATGCTCATATATGCATAAACGAACGATCATGGGCCCATTCTTATGGGTCAATTCACATATGTCGTACATTTTTTAAATTCTATTCAAGCTCCCTTACAAAAGCTGAGTTTTTGCTCATTTTGTTTGTTATCTCAAAGCATTTGAAATAGGTTAAGACGGATAAGTTAAGGGAAATCATTCTTGACATTTCAATTCAATAACTTTTGAAAGTCTGTTCGAGGAGAAGGTAAGAATATAAGTGCAGTTTAGAGTTTTGACGATTCAATTGGGTAAACTTCTCTTACACATTTTCTTTTTTTTTTCTTCTTTATCATTATTCAGTCGAGTTATCCCAATTATTTTCTTGAAAAAGATCATTTCAAAGAACAAAACATATAAAGTGAGAAGTAATGGAAGATTTTATTTACATACGAATGTTGAAAATCCCAAGAACAACACAATACTTTGAGTACACTGTTAATAATCAGGGGCGGGCGAGAAAGAGGAATCACAAACAACAATAAGAGTAAATAAAAGTAAAAAAAAAATAAAAATAAAAATAAAAATAAAACGAACAAAAAGCGAATAGAAATCATCAACAAACAATTAACATTAAAAATAAAAAACTAACTGAAACGGTAATAACTAAATGATGATTAATTATCTAAGAAAACTTCAAATAAAAAAATAAATAAATAAACTTTAAGTGAACGTAAAATAATAGGAAGCATAGGACTCGTGACAAACATTAAGCAAAAAAGAAGTAATGAATTGAATAAACAATTATATACAACCCCCACGGAACACAAATTCAACAAAAAAAAAAAAAAAAAAAAATATGATAAATTAAAGAAAGAAAAGAAGGAGCAAAAAACATTGCCATTTAGAAAATTTAATGAAAAATTTATTATATAAAAGTACAATCTTTTTAATACAAAATCACGTTATTATTTTTGCTTCTTCTTCTATAGAATATAAAATGAACGCGTGTACGAACATAATAAAAATAAAAATGATTTTGATTTTTTTTTTTTTTTTTTTTTTTTTTTTATATATATAATAAAAAAAGCTGTGAATTTCATCAGTATATAATTTGGAAAAAAATAAATAAATAAAAGAAATCCTGAAAAGCTTCACATAATAAGAGCTTTAAGTGTGTATAAAATAATAAAATTTCAAAAAATCATTAAAAATATTTTTCTTTTTAATTTATAAGAAAAAAAATAAAACAAAAAATTAAAATTAGATTATTTAATAATGAAATGCTGCGCCATTTAGCTTTTGGATTTATTAATAGTTAAGCAGAAAAATAATGAAATTTATAAAATAAAAATATGCTTAATTGTTCTTTCTTAAAAAAAAAATAAAAAAAAAACAAAAAAAAATTGAAAAGAAAGAAAGAAAGTCGAACCTGAAAATCCTCGGATTTTCATTTGAAGAACAGTTAATATAGAAAACAAAAAAAAAAAACAAAAAACAACAAACAAAGAAAGAAAACTAAAACCAAAGAAAAGAAAACCAAATTTAATTATACACGATTTGTAAACAAGAGAAAAAAAATTAAAAATTTAATAAAAACAAATAGCGGAGTAAAAGAAGAGAATTTGTTAAAAACAAATTGAAAAAGAGACATATAAAATATATCGATCGATTGTTCGACTCTGTCTTTCTGAGTATAAAGGAAACAAGAAGCAAATTAAAAAAAATTTATTTTTTAAGATACAAAGGACATAGATAAAGCAACTCAAGCTTTATATAAATTTTGTAAATTACTTTACTCATAAGTTCCAAATAATTATAATTTAATTATAAAAATATAATATTAATAATAATAATAATAATAATAATTTGAATAACAATAACAAAACGAGTAAATTTAACATTTAGTAACTATAATAATCGTTATTATTATTATTATTATTATTATTATTATTATTATTATTATTATTATCATTATTATTATTATTATAATTATTATTATTATAATTATTATTATTATTATTATTATTATTATTATTGCACTTATTATTATTATTATTATTATTATTATTATTATTACTACAATAATAAAAAAAATTAAACAAAGCTCTGTCCTTTAAACCGGAGCAAGTAGATAATAATACAATAATTGATGAATTAATATAAAGAAACAAATTGTCAACAATCGCATAAATAAATGAATAATAACACATACTTTTAAAAATGTTCAGTTATTGGAAAATTCAAAATCGAAAAAAAAAGAATTAAAAAAAACTGAAGCAAGCTCTAAACTAAGAATTTGAAAATTTTTTTTTTTTTTTGTTTTTTTTTATTTCCTTTTTGTCTTTTCGTTAACCATTTTTGTGTTTTTCTTGTGTTGTTAGAAAGAACAAAATCCCCTATCAACATTCATACTTCATTTTACTCGTCTTGTTTTCTCCTTTTCATTCTCGTAAACAACAAAAACAACAAAAACAACAACAACAAAGTAGAAATGTAGTCCAAATTAAATTTCATACAAACTAAATCTAACTAAATCTCTACGTACAAAATTTGACTATACATAAATCATGATGTTTCATATATAAATACACTTGCATACAAGATTACATTTATATATACATAATTGTATACACGCACACACGCATACACATTCACAAATATATATATATATATATATATAATATATATATATATATATATATATTTTTTTTTTTTTTTCTTAAACTTTCTTTCCTTTGTCTCATAGTCAAAGTAATTCCATCACTTCCATCTCTCACGGATATCGCTAATAGAAGCATTTTATTAGGCTACGTCTTATAAATTACTTATAGGTTTGTTATTTATATTTTACTCGTTATATTATCAGCTGTAAGCGTCCTCTGCACTTGAAATCGGAATTCTGAAATTGAAGGCCTTTTACACGATATTGATATTAAGGTCAAGTCGTTAAGAAATTATTGCCCCTCCATGGGTTTCGATAATTAGCAAAATCAAATTGCATTGAATATAAAATAAAAGCTTTAAAATATCACGCGTAAGGTCACTTCAATTTATTCCTTAAATGAGATCGAAATAACATTTAAGGGCATATTTTAAGCCCTTAAGAATAAAAATCATTCATGATCCTTATTATTACAATTATAAAATTAAGAGATATTTTTAGCTTCATACTCTTACTGCTCCTTATTATTTTGTCTATTCGATTCGATAATAACGGATCGCAAATAGTTTGCAAATTCAAAATCGTGTAAATTTGCCTACATTTTTGAAATCCATTGCTTTTCAATATAAAAACATTTGCATTTCTTCTCGCAATAAAAAAATAGAAAAAAAAATGAAAAAAAAAACAATTTAAATAAAAGAAAACAATTGCAACAGCACTATATTATAAAGCATTTCTCCAATAAAATGCTTGTCGTTTATTTTTTTAAATAAGGAAAATATGAATAAAAAATAAGAACAAATTGCCATCCAAATAGCTCTTACATAAGCAATTCAAATACTATTATTATACAACAAAAACAAAACAAATAAAGCAAAAAAAAAAAAATATATATATATATATATATATATGGATATGTATATGTATATATATATATGTATGTATATATATATATATATTAGAAGGATAATCTGACAAGGAAGACAAGAATAAAAATGAAAAAAAA